CCCCTGAGATATTGGAACACTGCTATCATGTCTCCCCTAGTCCTTCTTTTCATTAAACTAGACATACCCAGTTCCGACAACCATTCTTTATATGTTTTGGCCTCCAGTCCGCTAATCATCTTTGTTGCTATTTGCACTCTTTCTAGAGTCTCAGATGTGCTCTAGAATGCTTCCTTATTCTTATATAAGTACGTTCTTTATTACAAATGTGAAGTAATTTAATAATAACTATAATCATAATAGAGTTTACAGTAAACTCTGGTTGCTCTTAGTTGACCTGAAAATCTAAGCACAGTCAGAGCTACTTAATAATTGGATGCATAATAACATGAAAATCTCAAGGCTACTGACTGTCACAGGAATTAGAATGCTTTATATATTATGACAAAACTATATAAGCTACTAAGGACAGAAGTATCTCTATATGTAGAATATTGTACACCACCCAGAGTGAGTGAGTTGAGCAGCCATATAAATTTGTTTAATAAACAAATATAATGAATAATGCAAAAACTCTTTTAAGATGTAATCTTAATGCAACTCGGTAAATACCATAGAAGCAAAAACTTCAAGCTTCAATTATGCCTTTGCTTAAGAGTCAAATAAACGTTGATTATTTTTCTTTTCAAACTTGTTATAGCTCACAAAACTAATAAAGAAAAATCCTATTATGAATTTTTCACAATACTTTACTCTTGTAGTCTTGAATTAAATAATCTTAAATAACTAACCATTCTCTGCCATTAATTCATATTGCAAAGCGCCTGTTTTAATTCTAACCTTTTAATGATCTTTAACTGCTATGAGTGTAGATCAGCTGTTTCAAACCTAAATCAGATTACTTACCAGAGGGGCTAAGATAGGCAAAAATATAGTGATTGTAGCAGGATTGCTGGCTACTTCAGTTATTGTTGTCACAATCAATGATGAAATGAGAATTATTGACCATATGGGTAGTGATCCTAACGGGGTTAATTTGCTTCCAATCCAGGCTGAGAGTTTTGACTCCTGGGAAAAACAATAATTGCTTAGTTATCCATAAATGTAATTAAACAATCTGTGTGAATGTAATTTTAACCAAATGGCTTCTTAATCCGAAAGATCAATGTGGAAATGGAAAGAAACAAGACACCCATCCCTACAATATGACGTACTTTTCCTTTTAGCAAAATATATTCATAGCACATAGAATGCTCAGCTCGAGTGAGTGGATATATTTTAGCCACATAAGTAGTGTGTAACATTTTATATAGATAACCGCAGCTGCTTAGATGACAGATATGATAAATTGCATCCATATCTGCCTTCCTTCAGAGATCATTGATGTGTGTAGATGACCCTTAAATATGTTGATGAGTATGAAAATGTTCAGGTGAATATTTGCTTGAGCCACATTTTACAAATAGTAAAATAATAATTGGAAGATTATAGAACAATCCTAATAATATACTTCTATGAATGGGAAAATGTTCAAGATAAGTATGTTTTGGATCATCTCTTAGATTCAAGCAGCTTTGATTTAAGTCCCCTATTTTTTAACCTCAGTCTTGTGTAGTGGAAAGAATGATAATGAAGCCACATGAAGAATAAAACTGTCTGTATGTTCCAGCATTAATACATACTTAGAATAAATCTAGTTTAACAAATAGTTTTCCAACAATTGCACATAGCTTAAACCTCTAAAATCCTGATGCTCCCCCCCCCCTCACACAGACATATAATTCTTACTTTACTCAAAAAGTGAACTCTACCCACCTGGAGGAAGCCTAAAAGGCCATTAACTTGGTTTAAACAAGGTTCAAATTGCCCCTATTAAAAATCAAATTTCCCCCTATGGGGCATGGGCCCCACGTTGGAAACCACTGATCTAAATGTTAAAGCATTTCTTTTCTATTGTGGTAGTGTGAACCAGCATTCTCCCTTGAGATTTGAATGGCGCTCTATTTTGATTTTTAAATAAATAAATAATGTAATCAGGACATTGAATTGACAAGGAATTATTTTAATTTTATCAATAGTATCAGAACCTGCTTATCATTCGATTTGGATATAGTTCCAACACAGCCTGCTGAGATCACAATTTTGGTGTATTAGAACAGATGTTAACAACCAATGATAACAGCCTCATGATGTTAAAGAACCTATATAAGCTGTGGTGTGTTTTATTTTTGTATTTATATTGGCACCTAAACCAAGCTCTACAAATTCAAGATACCACACCACAATCAAATTTGTCTTAATTTGAGTTCTACTCAAACTATCATCATGTAACTTTCCATTAGAAAGCTAAATGCATAACAGACACCGACATCATTTCTTAATTGGTGAAACTAAGAAAATGAAGAAGCTTTTCTGCCATATAAATGTAGTATTTAGTAAAAACAATTGTTTGGTGCATTTTTCAAATGTAGTCAGTATATTGTATAGACATATTTTTGACTCTTTCACAGCAGCAGAAAAACTTGGGATAGATCTGTTACATTAAAGAACAGTGACTTTCTGACTATATTAGTATATAGATATATAGTATACCTTCTGCCAACCCAGCAGTTTGAAAGCATGCAAAAATGCAAGTAGAAAAATAGAAACAATCAGCCAATTTTGTTACTACTGGTTCGGGCACGCTCCCATGTGCAGATGTGTCTGGCTGAGTGGGCAGAGCCTCCCACCATCACTACTACCAGTTCACCTGATCCGGGCTGAATCAGCAGCAACCCAAGTCTTTCCATCTTTGGTGGGAAGGTAACAGTGCTCTGTGAGCCTTCAGCATTTAGTCATGCCGGCCACATGACCACGGAGGTGTCTTTGGACAGCACTGGCTCTTCGGCTTTGAAACAGAGATGAGCACCACCCCCTAGAGTAGGGAATGACTAGCCCATATGTGCAAGGGGAACCTTTACCTTTACCGTATATAGTATACAGTTAGTATACTATATAAGTGACCATCTGATTTTGTGACCATTTGCAGTTATGATGGTAATGAAAGCATAAGTCTGTGACCAATACTTGCAATTACAATCTTTGCATGATTGCAGAGCAAATCTGAAGTAAGATTGTAAGCACAGTAATCGTTTTATTTAGCAACTTCTTTGCTTAATGATCAAGTTGCCTATCTCAGTTATGGTCACTAAACAAGGTCTAGCCTTTATATAAGGAAAAATATGCTCATTTGTGGCACCTCGCTGAAGATTTTACCTACATTGATTGCAGAAACACATTGAGCAACCAAATAAATTCCAGCATTGTATTTTATGAATCTGAGGGACTGCACAACATACCCAGACTTTTAATGACTGGAATTGGAAAATCCTGAAATATATTGCCAATAGAATATTCTTATGGGAGACTAGAGGTCAAAGCACAGGCCACAAGATATATATTAAGCATAAGGAACAGATTGCCTTTTTGAGGAAAAGCCTTGTGCATATTTTACTTTAGACAACAGGTGCTTCTTGCTGATTTCAATAAATTTGGTGTGCCTAAATGCAAACAATTTCAGGAATAATGTTTTGCCATTAGATAAGTGACCCCACTAAACAAAATCACTGAAAGATCACTGCCATTCTTTGCACTTCTCTTGTAAACTATCTTATATCTTATAAACTGATGAAATGGGAAAAACCTGCATTACCTCACAGCCATCAGCCAGCGCAAACCCACCGCCAACAAGGATGGCAATTTCCCAGGGCATGCATGCTTGAAAATCTTTCCAAGTTATCAGTGGACTGTAGTCAAAAACAACTGAAAAGACAGAAAGGGTTTTTTTTAAAAAAAAAAATATTAGTAACTATAGAAAAACTCACTGCAGGCATCCTTTTATTACTTTTCCATTTGATTCTAAACATAATTTCATCCAGATACATCTTGAAGGGGTTGGTAGAATGGTGATGAAGAATAGTCAAGGCAATGGCTTCAGTGGAGTATTTTCAACCACCATTTTAATTTTTTTAAACATACCCTCATGTACTTCTCTTCCCCCATTGGAGATGATAACAACATATCATGTGGTGTTAACACACCATGGCAAATGTCTACAATCTATATCTCCACCCAGGCTCTTGGCTCAGTTAGAACAAGAGAATATATTGAGTAAACTTCAAATATCTGCATTTGCACTACAAAATGATACATAATTGTCTACAAAGCCCAATGGGGTGGTGCATACCACCTCATACCTTTAGGTATATCTTTAGGACAGAGGTTAATGTATAAATGACACACAAGGATCCTACAGTAGATAGATGATGTATGTCATAGAAATTTGGGTAGTGAGTTTCTTTATTTCGGAGATGTGTTTTCTTCTGATCCACTGAATTTTCACTTTCTTGGAAGCGGAGATCTTGTTAGAAATAAATCTCACAGTTGATTTGCAGTATGCCTATTCAAACAGCTGTAGGTCAGATGAATTTCAGAAGAATCCAGTATGTATGTACTGTATGTATGTACGCGTGTATGTATGTATGTATGTATGCATGCATGCATAGGGTTGCATAATTTTCTAAATTAAACAATTGCAGCAAAAATGGGAAATATACTCAACTGTTTTCTCCATTTGAAGTTCTAGACAATCTTTTTGCAGGAATAATGAAGAAGAGGAGCCCAATTAGTAAAGCCACTGTTGAATCTGTAGCAAAGCCTGGATATCTAAGGAAAGAGATATTTACTTGAAAAATAAATATTACAAGTCTAGGAAAAGAATTTGGTGATTATCTTTCAGCAATAATATGCATCAACTCAATTAGGCTTATTTATACTTCAGAATACTTTCAGAAAGTATTTATTTGAAGGTATTGTGTATCATATTGGGTTAATCATCAAATATACTGTCTGGATTGTTTTTTCTCTGAAGAAACAGTGCAGCAGCCTAAAGGAAATCAGATGTAATTTTATAAATTTCAATCTTTTAAGTAAAGCATTTGTACAGTTCATCTTTTGACTTGCCTGAAAATATATATGCCATTTCCACCTACTGGAAATGTCAACAAATTCTGTTAATGTTTGTTAGAAAAATTACAGATGCTTACATGCAGTATGTGAATATATGTAGAAAAATATTACGTTAGGAAGAAAAACGGATTGTTTCATAAAATAACTTGTCAAATATCTGAAGTATGATCTCTGCCTCTTTTTATGGACGGGAAAATCTGACAATATGATTTTCTTGTAGCTGCTTACTTTAACTGAAATTTAGTTCATCTTATTTTAATTTTTTTCCAAAAAAAAGTTTTTACTAAAATTTGATAAACATTTCAGCATATGAATCAAAATTCACTCTTACTTATTCTAAATGTTTCTAGTACTCGGTGTTTGCAAACAAATTTCTCTTAAATGCCATATCTTCCCAAATATGGTTCTAAATTTATTTATTTTTCTTTAAACCTCAGATCAAAAACATTGTAAACAGATGGTTAAAAATTATGTTCAGCTTACAGCGATAGGTAAAAAATGGTAATTTAATTTAAAGTTGACATATTTGCTAAAAGAAACCCAAAGTAAAAAAATAGTCTCTATTTACAGCATGTTTCTTTTGTCGGAAGGACAGACTCCTGGATTTTCTTAAACTATAGTTATCATATGATGCTAGGGGCTTAAATCAGCTTTATCACTGGGCATGTATTTTGACTTCAATTTGTTTATCAAATGTTGGTAATATTTTTTTTTAAAAAATATTCATTATTGGCATAAACCACACAACTCCAAATTCAAATCCGTTATTGGCACAATCCTCACAATCCATAATAAAATCCACAATTGCATTCCACTACTCTGCTCTGCTCTGCTCTGCTCTACTCTACCCTTTTGTATATTGATTGGGGCATAAGTCTATTTTTAGCCATAGTTCTTTTTGTTTGTTTGTTTGTTTGTTTGTTTGTTTGTTTGTTGCATTATAGACAGTTGACTAAGGTTCTGACCCTTTTATTTGATTCATTTATTTATACAATGTATAGGCTTCCTGATTCCCAATGATTATGAGCAGCTTACAATTAAAAGTTAAAAATAAGTACAACATGCACAAAAAAGAATCACAGATGGCCCCCAAAACAGCAACATCCAACAGGCATTCCACCAACAGGCTCAATCTTCATTCTGCTCCAGTAGATCTTTACTATCTACCTGAACCATCCAGCAGTCCAGAGGCAAGCACTGTGAGTCTGTGACAGAAAAGGCATACTTCCTGGGCCCAGAAAACAACATTACTTAAATAGTGAGACCTGTAGCATCCTCACTTAGCCCAACCAAACCAAATGGGTAGAAAAAATGGAGACAGACAATCCCTCAAATAAAAGGCTCTATTCCATGAAGACTTTTACAGGTGATAAATGACATTTGTATTGCAGAAGACAACTGGTAACCAGACTACTTAACAGAAGAGTGAGGCGACATATCTAAACATGACTAACACTGCCCATATGACCATCCTTATAGACACGACAAACTTTGTTTTATACCTCACCCTACTTCCCTATTTGAAAATAGTAGATAAAGCTGGTGCTGTTGTTACAGTCTTAGACAATTTAGCTATTAATAGCAATAGCAATAGCATTTAGACTTATATACTGCTTTACAGTGCTTTATAGCCCTCTCTAAGCAGTTTACAACATCAGCATATTGTCCCCAACAATTTGGGTCGTCATTTTACCCACCTCGAAAAGATGGAAGGTTGAGTCAACCTTGAGCCTGATGAGATTTGAACTGCCAAATTGCAGGCAGCAGGCAGGCAGCAGAAGTAGCCTGCAGTACTGCACTCTAACCACTGAGCCATCTCAGCTCTTACTTTAGATCAACTTATTACTAATCAAGTTTTCAAAATACAGTACTTGTATCACTGTAGATTGAATTTTGATTGCCTAAAATAAAAAAGGTTTATACATAGCTAAAATATTTCTTGATATTCCAATAGACCTTAATATGTTAGCAGTATCTAAAACTCCTGTACTATTGCCATGTTATATAGAATTTGGATAATTCAAAACTCACCACATTTTAAATGTTTTATATTAATTTGTGCAAATAATTATTTTGTATAGTGAGTGGAGGCACCTTATATTCGTGAATCAATGACAAAGGGACTTAAATTATACACATATTTCCTATGATCTTAAAATAAGATTACTTTAACAAAAACCTCTTGTTCTTGGTTACTGGACTCCCCTGAGAACACTTTAAAAAACCTAGCCTAATTTAATTAATTTAGAAGTGCAAGGACATGCCTATATGATTGTTAAAATGGGGACACCAGAGAATTTTGAGAAAGTGAATATATTTTTAAGTTATAAATAAAAAATATAGATCTATCAGTATATAAACTATAGATTTCTTAAGGTTAGGGAGAAATAATCTTTCTGCTCAATAGATAAAGATAAAGCTAGCAAAGATGTATAATTTGTTTTCTTTCAGTGGGTGTTTTTCATAATGAAAAGATGGAGAAATATTTCGTGTGATTTGTTTACAAAATTATCTGAATGTTATGTAATAGATTATGGTTTGCTTTACTCCTTCCTTCTATATTTGTTTTTTTAATTATCTTTCTGTCACATTTTTTAATTAGAAAAGCAGTGGGTTTTTTAAAAAAACATTCAGCATTATATCTTCATCTGTCATAAACTGTTAAAACGCATGCAAAAGAATTGTTGTTATTTAGTAAAGCTTTTTAAAAAGGTATTGTAAAAATGGTATTGTCAGTAACTATAAAAAAGCTTGATAGCTTCTGGCAAACATCCCAGAAAAATCATCCCTGACAAAAGAAAATCTGTAGGATTATATGGTCCTACTTTGAGTTGACTCTCAATGCATCCTCTGGATTGAAAAGTTTCCCTTTTTTTTTCCTTTGCCAAGTTCTATCTACAAAAGGATTCTTCACAACTAACTAATCAGAGGAAGAAAAAAAATGCCAATTCTTCTTGTCAACAAGAAACAAAGCCACCAAACTCACAGCAGGCACTAAAGATTAAGAAAGTAACTAAGTAGTTTGAGATGTAGCCGCAACAGATTACAGATTACCAGAGTTGGAAGGGACCTTGTAGGTCATCTAGTCCAACTCCTGTCCCCNGTTCTGTGCACCTTCATTGTTTAGTCATGCCAGCCACACGACCACGGAGACATCTTCAGACAGTGCTAGCTTTTCGTCTTTGAAACAGAGATGAGCACTGCCCCCTAGAGTCGGGAATGACTAGCACATATGTATGAGGGGAACCTTTACCTTTTATATACGTTCCTATTATGTAATATTTTCAGATTACATTTTACAGGTTCTCTTAAAAGCCTTTTAAAATATTTAGGAGGATGATTTGCAATTTGAACTTCACAAATCTCCTGAAACTCTCTAAGGCATACAATACTCTTAACTCTTCTGTAGTTTTCTAGATTGTGGTGGGCTAGCTATATTTTAGTTGTCCTATGATGCCACCTTTGGTGTAGAGACCTTTGATTGAAAGTTTCTATAGGATTTTGGGGAAAAATCTTAAACAATCTTTAAAAATTAATGATTTTTTTCTAATTCATATGGACTGGTACAATCTATGGAATTGCTTCAGTTTCTCTGCTAGCAGCAAATGTTATAATTAATAAGTGTTTATTGCAAAGTAATAGAAATCTGGTATGTTTTATGTTGGGACAGTGGTATGTATTTAAAATTCAAAGAACTTATTTTGGTTGCAAAACTGACAGTTGAATACAATGCTTTGAAATAATTAATAATAATTAAAAGATTTTACTGTAAAATGTGTTCTTAATAGATTAGTTTCATCTAGACAAGCGTCATTCGGAAAAGAAATACTGAATATGGAATTTTAAAAAATATTTCAACATGAATATGTATTTCTCTTTAAGATCACATCCACCCACCCACACCCACAAATTGTGTGATGCTTTGGAACAGAAGGCAAAAATGTGTTTTTGACAGATCATCTGTCTTCAGCAAAATAGGAACATATTTTCCTGGAATTGCATGGCTGTCCTTGACAGATGCAGTACAGCCTTAGAAAAAGGCTTATTTGGTTAAAAGAGATGCAGGGAGGTGCCCCATATATCTCCAGCATGTTCCTATGAGCATGTTTTTGTTTTTGTTTTGTATCCAAAGCATACATATGTACCCCTAAGCGAAATTTAGGTTTTGGCCAGTTTCATTATAAATTGTTATCTTATGATTCTGTATTTTAAAGGGTTTTTTTGTTTTGTAAAAATAAAACGTAACAAAATCAAAATGTGACCTTTTTTTGTCAAGTTTCATAAGTTATCTTAGCTCAGTCTCTGGTGTGTAATTATTTTTCAGTTAGTTCCCCCCTCCCCCAGTCCGAATGTGCTTAGAAATATAACAAATAGCACCACATCATCCACATTTATTTTATCCTGTCAGAATCCTCTAGTGTGAATTCCTCCCATAGCTATCCATTCATAAATTCTTGACAGAAGAATAATGTCTTTGTTCCTAAATTTTATCACATGTTAATAATGGCAATGTACCTGTCTAATGTATTTAATATTTTGGTTAAACTATACCTACTGGATCAGTTAAGGGCCAATATACATCAGCATTCTTATTATCACTATGGAAAATATTTCATGGAACATGGATCTTTGCCTGATTCTTTTGAAACGTAAATCCAAATTATGCAAAGGAGTACGGTATATCTTTTTTTAATCCATAGTTTTATTGCCGTTTTATATACTGAAAAAGAAACAGCACTACACTGAAAAGACAGCAACTAGCTAATTTTAACTCACATACTGTAGTGTCATAAAATAGGATTTACAAGCGACAATAGCCAAATGCTAGAACAAAACCCAATAAAACATGCTATGCTTAGTGTGACTTATGAATGTGCTTCAAATACAGAACCAGAGGATAGGAATCATTTTCTTGTTCGACTGTGATTTAGAACAGGGGTTGTCAACTTTTTCTAATATTTATAATAATTTATTACATTTAACATGTAATATCAGCATAGATTAACTCCAAGGTTAACNTTATTTTATTATTTTATTTTATTATTTTATTTTATTATTTTATTTTATTATTTTATTAAGATTTTGTTTTATGTAGTTGCCCATTTAAAAAGAACTCTGGGCAACTTACACCGAAGTATAAAACATATAAACAGTGTAAAAAGCGACAGAATAAAAACAGAAAAGCTGGTGCTGCAGCCACACTTGTCTAATGCGCTCACATTCTCACCCCACCCTGACCTCACCCTATCCCAAAGCCTGGGGGAAGAGCCAGGTTTTAAGTGCTCTTAAGTATCAACAGTTTATCTTGTAGTACTTCTGTAGACAACAACTTCGTGTAGAAATCAAAAGGCCCCTAAGGATTTCTTCATATCTTTAGCAATGACGATAGTAATCATTATTTTACTAATTTGCTCATGGGCATGCAGTCTTTAAATTAGCAGTGCAAGTTTAAATGCTGAAATTAGATAATTTAGCTTCTATATTTCATAGTATTATAAGAACATCCTGCCATATCATGAATGCCCAGCTTCTGGAG